CCCCCCTCTCCCTCTCCATCTCCCTCTCCTCTTGTCTTGCCAATACCTCCTTCAATAATTTTAAGATGGTTTGCCTTATCAAATTCAATGACTAAGAATCATTATTTTTGTTTTGTTTACAAAATGCCTTGTAATTTGTTTTGTTTAGATATTTAGTTGTTAGAATTAAGTTGATATTTTGCACATACTGAAACCATACTTTTGTGATTGTATTGCGTAAGGAGATATCAAATCAGTTTTTATTTTTGTGATAGAATCTGCATTCAGCTATTCTAAAGAATATTAGACCCTTTTTTTTTTGGGGGGGGGGTGAGGGGTATTTTAACACTGGGTTTAGGAGAATCATACCTAGACTTGTTGCCCCCATTCTTCATATTTTTAGTGGGTTGTCCCCACAGTTACTACCTAAAGATCATTATTATTTGGTTATCTTAGACATTGGCAGGACTTGCTACCCCCTATTGTGTTCTTTGTATGGATCTTTGAACAAATGGTTGTAAATATATGTATTACATTACTTTTTTTTACTTATTACTTTCTAATGTTGAGATAAAATTACATAAGTTATCAATCTATAATGTTATTGCCAGGATTATTTTCTGCTTTTTGAAAACTTTGAACACTCCTCAAGGGAAGAATAAAAGGATGTGTCTTTGAAAATTCCAACTCTTTTTGTTAAAGGAACAAAAAGGGATCTTGTAAAGGTTGGTCCTCTTAAATGAGAAGAGTCACCTTAATTTTCATAATTTACTTCGCAGATGGTGCAGAAGGAATTTTGAAAAGTCCAGATGTAGAGAAACCAGTAGGCAAGAAAAAGTCATCTGTTCCAAAGAAAGGAGTGGCATATGAACCTTCTTCTGTTGTTCCAAAAAAGAGTGCCGATCCAGAGAGCGTGAAGCCATCTGTAGTTCCCAAAAAAGGTGTTGATTCGGAAGACTCCAAACCGTCTGTAGTTCCAAAGAAAGGTGTTGATTTAGAAAACTTAAAACCATCGGTAGTTCCCAAGAAAGGTGTTGATTTAGAAAACTTAAAACCATCTGTAGTTCCAAAAAAAGGTGTTGATTCAGAAAACTTAAAACCATCGGTAGTTCCCAAAAAAGGTGTTGATTCAGAAAACTTAAAACCATCTGTAGTTCCAAAGAAAGGTGTTGATTCAGAAAGCTCAAAATCATCTGTAGTTCCAAAGAAAGGTGTTGACACTGGACTGGTTAAGCCCATAGTCTCTGAAGCTAATATGCAAATCACAACCCAGAAAGACCCAACAGTTGTGAAAGAGAGCACAGTATCAGATAGTAGCGCAGTGGTACCTAAAAAGTCAATGTCTAATCCATCGTCATCAGTCAATGCCTTGCCATCCAGTCTGCAGGAGAAACCTACGCCAAGCCTGATTAGCCCCACCAAACCTTTGAAAGGATCTCCAACCCCAAGCCCAGTACAACCCACTGTGCATTTGGCTGGCCAGAATGAGTCTTCCAACAGCACGAAGTCAGAGAGCATCCCACCTTCAACTGACTCCAGTGAAAGCCACTCAAAGCCAACTGCAGCCATAGACAACCTTGATGCAAAGGAGAAGGATTCAGAGGGAAGTGGGGCATACACACCAGCTGCGGTGGGGATCATATTGCTCTTATGCATTGTTATCACTGTTATGATTTTAGGCATCCGAAGGCTGCAGGACGTGTGGATGAGAAGACACTATGCTCGGGTGGATTTCCTTATTGATGGAATGTATGACATGTAGAGGAATGGAGTCTTGATTGTTGAATTTTATGGTCACAAAAAGTGATGTGATACATATTTTTATACATTTTTTTAGTTTTACATCAATTTGAAGTAAGATTACATTTTGTACACGTATTTCAAGTGTTGCATTTCTGCTTTACATTTTAAAAATTAGGGATACCGTTGATACTATTGCAGCTTAATTTATTTTACTCTTTCTTAAATGGTGCTTAGTCATAGTATTGATAAGTGAACAGATTTTTAAAAAAGTGTAAAAGGTAAAAACTCAGGTTTTAAAGTCATGGTAGAGTTTAGCATACAATTAGAAACTGCATATTTGGAAATAGAGAGTATGATATAAATAATTTATTCTTTTAATGTATTATTTTGGTGCATTAGAGTATTTTTTATATACAGATCTCCAGATTGCAGAATAGCAATATAGTCACTCATAGTAAATACCTAAACTTTGAAGTCATTTTATTTATATGCTGTAATGTAATGTGGAAATTTAAAAAATAAAATGTGTTTGCTCATGACTGACAGATTGTTGTCATTGTGATGCTGTTGTTCAAGTATCATAAAACAGATTTTGAAAAAAAAAGATTCAAATATAGTAAATTAATATGAAGAGCAGATTTTACACCATATTGAAGTTTTTATAGAAATTGATGTAAAATTGATTTAAAATTGTTATAGATAAGAAAAGAAAGTTTAAAAATAGAGAACACTGCATGTCAGGTTTACTATAAGATTAGTTCTGACATATTATAATTCTAATGGCCATTTCTCTTCTTAGGTATTAGTGCAGCTTTTTCCATTCATCTTGTGTTACAGTAATGTTACTGTATTACTTTATAGTTATGTTATCAGTCACCATTTAAAGTGAGTCAAGTGCTTGTATTCAAGTACAGCTCACAGTAAGAGAATCTGGTTGCCATTTTATTTATGGTAATTGTGCAACATAGTGCTTACGATGTTATGTATATTAACTGTGCTAATTTTCAAAAATGTGGAAGCAGTTTCGATCTTTCTGTTAACTACAAGCTAATTTATAAAAAATATAGAAACGGTTTTGATGTTTCTGTTAACTACAAGCTAATTTTCAAAAATATAGAAACAATTTTGTCATACATAGCCATAATAGATTTTGCAGTACTTTAGACATGATTTTTACTCCTATATGTAGTAAGAACGATTTCTTTTAAAATAATTCTCTGTTTATCTCCGTCAAGTGTCTTCTCAAAAGAAACAAGTGAAAAGTCTTTCAAAATATGGAATAGTACGAATTACTGTGCCTTTTTTATGCCTTTTTATGAAATAAGAGATGGCAGTGGTTTTGTCCATGATGTCTATTTAAATTATGATTTTTTTTTTACCTTTATAATAGAGCATCTGTGAATGTCTTTATAGTAACTTTAGTAAAATTGATATTTTTCTAAGGGTCATATCATACAAAGTACACAAAGGATTGCTGTTGTAGTTTAAGGCAGTATGGGTTGCACATTTATGAATTGCACCATGATGTTTGTCTGTTAGTGAAGGATCTTTGCTCTTCTCTCGTCAATGTTAACTCTTTTATTACTATTATTATTATATTATGGGAACAGCATTGTTTACCTAGACAAATTCATTTTTGGTTTATGTATGCATGTGTGTATATATAAATGTGTGTGGATGTATATATGTATATGTATATATATGTATATGTATATGTATATGAATATGTGTATATATATATATATATATATATATATATATATATATATATATATATATATATATATATATATATATATATATATATATATACATATATATATATATATATATATATATATATATATATATATATATATATATATATATATATATATATATATATATATATATATATATATATATATATATGTATGTATGTATGTATGTATATGTATGTATATGTATGTATATATATGTATATATATGTATATATATGTACATATATGTATATATATACACATACATATATATACATACATACACACACATGTATACATATATACACATCTACAAATATGTATACATACTCATATTCATATTCATACTCAAACACATACATATACCCATATTCATATACATACTATACATATGCATACACATACCTACATATACATGTACTTTCACATACACATAGATAAAGCTATATCTATACATACATATATACATGCTTACATACACATGTACATATATAGATATTTTTTTTATTTGTCATCTTTCCTAGGATTCGATACGAAAGGGTTTAGATATAAGAGGTATGTATAAGTAGAGGGCAGCTGTATGGTACTGTGCTAGTACATCAATGAAAATGCATTGTTGGAGAAATTTGATACTATTTTTCTATGGTAAAGCTTGGGGTTGGTAATCTTGTATTAAGATATGCTTAAGAACATGTATTTTCTCTGTCTCTCTCTGTCTCTCTCTCTCTCTCTCTCTCTCTCTCTCTCTCTCTCTCTCTCTCTCTCTCTCTCTCTCTCTCTCTCTCTCTCTCTCTCTCTCTCTCTCTCTCTCTCTCTCTTCTTTTCTCTTCTTTTCTTTTCTTTTTTAATGCATAATAGTAGATGAGAGTTACTTTTTTAAGGTGGCATTTGTAAACCAAAACCAAAACTCGGTGCATCTTCTTCGGTGTATAACATTTTGCTCTGAATTTTTTAGTTATATTTTCAATTTTAAGACAGCAGAGTATGCAAAAAACGTAAGTCTATAGTTATACCTTTTGTTACATAAATCAGCCGTGTTGAAGATTCAAACTTATGGATGAACGTAGATATTGAAAACATTTATGTAGTTGCAAATGTATGTAATTTTATCACCATGTGTTTATTTTTCGCTTAAATTATACTACTTATTTTGATATTTTTCAATTGGCTTGCTTATTGTTCAGCTTTGAAATTAGGACCTAATGTATTCTACCCTTTAATCTCTTCTCTTATGATATAGGATAGTTATTCCGTTATTTCCTTTTAAAAGATGGATGAAGTGTTGTAGTCAATTTGTTTTATTATTATTATTATTATTATCATTAATTTTTCTTTTATCTTTTTATCCTTTTCTTTGGTTCTTTAACTTTTCTTCCTTATTGGTGATAGTGACATTCCCTCCATGATGTGTATATATGATTACATCCCCCCCTCCCCCTCCCCCCCAGCCCCATTGTAATGATAAACAGTGTGCAGCTGCTAAAGAAATTTCCCCTATCTCTGTGTAGCTGACAGGTGTTTGATGATGTAAAAGGAATTCTTAACATTTTGAAACATGTTGTAATTTAGAAAGAAATTGTTCAGTATTTGTACTATAATGAGCATTTTGCATTAGCTATGCTTTTCAACTAAGTATCAGCGCTATATTATTTGTTAGCTCTTGATGATTATATTAAGCATATCTTACTAATGATAAGACTGTGGTATGACATAGGTTACATTAGTGCATGTGCATTTTTTATGTTGTGACTGACAATAATTTTTTTTTTTTATCACGAGCAAGTTGGATTTATCATGCCTGAGACATGAGAAATGACTTGAAACAAATTCTCATACCTTTCCCTCAAAAACTGTGATGCTTTTTGTTATCTGAATATATTTCTATTGTTTTCTGAAATAAAGTGTATTACACTTACTATAGTACTGATTTGTTACCTTTGAAATAACTCTTAAAGGACTGAGATAGAATAGAATTTGACTTTAAAAATATTTCTCACACAGTATCAATTCAATTGACTCAAAATTAGGTTTAGAAATATTTTTTATATGATTTATGGTTAATGTAACAAGGCAAAATATATGTGCTAGACATCAAAAGTCATATAGCACTATAGAAAGGGTAATAGTGAAAAGGGTAAAGAGTGGGGTTAGTTAAAGATTGATTGTGCTACACGTCAGAAGTCGTATAGCATTTCACCCCCCAACAGAGACAGACCCAATGTAGGGAATCACCCCTGCATTGGTCTTTAGCCTTTGCCTCGACTAATTTTCCATGGTCTTTTCTTATCCTTTCATTTTCCTTCTCTTCTTCTCTTCTCTTAGCCTAATCATTAACTAATTTTTACCCTTTTTGCCACACTACTTTATCATAATGCTATATGACCTTTCATGTCTAGCGCATTTATTTGTTTTATCCATTAACCATTTTGGAAATACATAAACATAGCCTTATTGAACCAAAACACTTCCTTACCTGGGAGCTTTTCCCCCAAGCCCCACCCTATCACTATATTTTGAAATGCCACAAATGACCTTAGGTGTTAATGCAACAGACAACTTTCAATAAATAATTAGATATAGCATTTCAGGAAGGTAGTGATTATTAGATCAAAGTTATCAGTGAGAGATGTATGGGATTTTGGCTCCTCCCCCCTCCTCAATTCCTTGCTCATTTTTGTTTTTGAGGGGGAGGCTTAGGAGACAGGGATTGAGGCCCAAGGTGGGGATCACCCCTACCTTGGGCCTCAGCTCTTGCCTCAACTAATCTTACATGGTCTTTTCTTCTCCTCCTTTCCTTTTCTTCTTTTTCATCCCCTTGTTCTGTCCACTGATCCTAATTGTTAAACTCATTTTTGCCCTTAACTATGCTATGCCTCACCAACTCCCTGTCTCTACCCTTTTCACTACCATACTACCCTCTAGAACTGTTCAACCTGTAACTTTTCACTACTCTACTATACCATAGTGCCATATGACCTTTGATGTCATATAGCACTTACTTACCTGGGGGCTTTGCCCCCAAACCTCATGTTATCAGTGTTTGGAATCCACATTTAATAACCTCAGATGTTCATGAGGCAGAAAATTTTCAGTAAATAAATAAATAAAGGATTTTGCATGGGTAAGATAGTGATCAGGAAGGGCATGGTAAGGGAGAGAGGTATTTAAGAGCAATTAGATCACAGTTTCTGGGAGAATGTCAGGAGGGAGAGAATCCAGGTTGCTACAAAGGGTCGCATCCATTGGGAAGCGGGAGGGATAATGGGGAAGGAGGAGGGGATGATGCAGCTGAAGCAGTGGGGGACATAGTGCGTTGGGAGGGAGTGGGAGGAAAGGGTGCAAGGAGAACATGAGTACAATAATGGATGTCAGCAGTTACTTTGAGTACAGAAGAAATGGGAGTAAAGAGATGAGGATGGCATGACAGATGTTTGATGGGTGGGGGGGAGGGGGGGTAGAAGATGGGATGGGATGTGACAAGGTGGGAGCAATTGGGGTGGCTGTGAAAGGAAACTTTGCCTACTTGTTTTTGGAAGCCTTGCTGGAAGAGGAGAGTGTTGTCAGAATAAGGGGCTGTGAGGGAATTACAAAAAATTGGCTGGGCTGAAAAGAGAATTGCAGAGTAGTATTAAGGGGGGATGGGGTAGTTGATGAAGAAAGTTATGGGGATGGAAGAGATGAAGTAGTGGATGTTGGGAGAGGAATGTTTCCTGGTGATTGAGTATTCCTGATGTGATTGAGTATCGACCTGGATGAATAATTTGGACTGGGCTGATGTGATAGTAGGTACAGAGGAGGGGGGTAGTAGTATCAGTGTTCAGTGGCCAAAGTACTGCCCCTGTAGTTTTTTGTGAATTTTGTTATATACAGATGGCTCAGCCAGCAAGGAGTCTCTCAGTAGGCCCTAGTGACTGCTCCTGATTTCCCTTATTCTAATATGATTGATATTGATACTGTAATTATTCTTACTGTTATTATGAGTATTAAATTGCTATTAAAATCTTGGTAACATTAAAGACAATAAAATAATACAAAAGAAACTTTCCAAAAATACTTCAGCTATGTCACCTGTGGCATAGGTAAGTATTCACTGTAATAAACTTATATTACAGTGGGCATGGCATGTATTTTTGCTGTCTGTGCCAACTGGGTTAAGGAAAAAAAAAGAGATTATTAACTAGTCAAAATACAGAAGTGGCAGTTTAATTATCATAGAAATAGGAATGTATGGTTTGCAGCTTGGATATATCAAGATGGCAAATTTCTTCAGTAAGTAAATATTCTAGTTTTGTGTCGATTTTAACATAAAAAACACAAACCCTTTGAACAAGCACTCAGACATGCACTTATTTAAAAATTATTTAACAAATAATTAACTCATAATTCACATAATGTTTGCTGCAACAAATAAGGGATAATAATCAATAAATAAAAGCCTTCATTTATTACACTGAACACTTCCAAAACAAAACATTCATATAAAAAAAATATATTGGGTCATATGGCACCTCCGTAATCTTACTTTTGCAGTGCCCAAATGCCTTGGTCAAAACAATTCAGTTAACATACTATAAGTTATATATATACAATTAAAATCAAATACTTTGGAATACCAGTTCCAACACTGCTTTATTTCTTTACAGCTGGCATAGGAATATAAAAACACATTCCAGAGAATTTTTTTCTGTTTGCCTAAACTTTTTGCATTTCCAAATAACTAAGCAAAATTTCTGAATGTAAACACAATTATACAACCTGTACAGGACACCAGTGCACAATAAGAAAACTTGTTTATAAGATGAGCAGAAGAGTTTGAAATTTGTGCAAGTATTAGTATATCAATAAATATACTGCTATGAGAGTTCTTCACATCATCCATGGACACGGTGAGTAGATAAAAAAAAAAAAAAAAAAAAAAAAAAAAAAAAAAAATGTTCCTTATACAGAACATAATTTTAATCAATTTCATGATAACTTGCAAAAAGGATTGTATACCCAAGGTCTGAAATTTTTGAAGACATACTTTTGTAAATCTTATTAAATATGAGATCAACATATCAAATCTGAATCATTTAGGTTCTGCAATGCACTTACTTTAGTATATACTAATGATCTTCAAAGGGATAAATTAAGGTACATTTATGACACAGTTCTATGCAGCTACTCACTCAACATTGATTCCTACTCTATATGTACTCTGAGCATTTGTATGACTATCAAATAAAACAATAATATTCATATTGCATTAACATGTGAACAGTCCTATAAATCTGATGTCAAAGCAAGTTTTACCTCTGTTTTTAAATGATGTGTTAAAGTATGGCATTTTGTTTAAGTAGGGAACTTCTGACTGACAGGTAAGCATACTTGCAACAGACATTTGCAATCATAATATGTCAGGATCTTTAATATTCTCAGGCCACCTACTTTTATACATCCTTGACAATCCTATCTACTTACAATTTTTATGTACACACTTATGCAATAAAGTCTTCTATTATATATTAATGCCTTTGCTTTCTTATCTTACTTAAGTCACTTTCATTACAGGAGTGTAGAATGCATAATTTGCACAAATATAATCACACAAAGCTGAAACGTTTCTATACTTTATCATGTGAATACATTTTTACAACCTCTTTTTAACTGGACTATGAAAACTTTTAGAATGGAAGGTAGCTTTGTAATATTTATATGCTTTTCTTCCCTGTCTCAACCTAAACTTAAATATCAGGTTGCAATTAGATTTTTCAATAACCAGCCACATATGATCTAGATGAACTCTGCATTTACAAAACAGACTGTAATTTGAATGCCTTATAGTCCATGGGATGAAAAAAAGCTAAATAATATAGATAATATAAAACTTTCTTCAGGTAAACACACTGACAAGACATGCACACAATGAACGTAAAAAGGGGACAGATACTACAGATTAAAGAATTATAATGCCCTAGGGTCTAATTCACAGGGTCTCCTGAATTCCTGGCCGCGTTCATGAATCCACTTATTCGACACTATGGTAAAGAAAAAAAAAGAAAAAAGAAAAAAAAGGGAATGAATTAAATTTCAAAACTAGGTATCAGTGACTGAATGCCAAACTTTGCAAGATTGTCAGAATATTCATTATGCAAATAGCTATCTTGTCTGGCAAGTTTTTAAAATATACATTTTAGATACTGAAAGCATTATATGTATAAACAAATATAATCAAAACAATTTATATATATATATATATATATATATATATATATATATATATATATATATATATATATATATATATATATATATATATATATATATATATATTAAAAATGCAAAATAAGCAACTTACCCCACTTGGTACCAACTAATACAGGGCAAGCAGCATGTCTTGTGAGAATGTCACCTTCGCCACTGGGATGCAGGTTGTGCCAGAAGGCTGCTGTGCCCTTCTTGGGCCAGAGTGATAATTCCAGTTGTGGGAAGACAGTTGCGCCGCCAGCATCAACGTCGGACATCTAATTACACAATGAGCAGATGTTTATGTAATGAGTAGTGTGCAACTGCCTACTGTAAATATATCAGACTCTTTACTTTTGCAAAAGTTAAGTAAGTGCTACAATATATTCTACAGTTTACTATATCTGCTTTAAAATATAATAATATTCAATATTTGTGCAATGCAGTAAATAACTACAATCATATTTTTAAAAGATTACCCAACTGACCATCAAATAATTTACAGATGAAAACTCATGTTAAATACCTATTTCATTAGTGGAAACATGCATTAATAGTTATAAAATAGTTAGTTATGTAAATTTCTTTCAATGCATGAATTACTTTGTAAATATAAATACACACAGATGAAATGAAGAGAGACTGAGAGACAGACACAGAATCAGAAAGAAGGGAACATGGAAAGTGTAACATATACAGATAAATAAAAAGAAATACAAATAAATAAAAAGACATACAAATAAATAAAAAAAAATACAAACAAAACTAGCAAAAATCACAAGAAAAGGGAACACACTTATAGACTCAAATACAGACAGATGGACAATGTATGTATGTATGTATATATGTATATATGTGTCTGGGGGGTATATTTATATGTATATGTATATGTATATGCATATGTATATGTACATGTATATGTATGTATGTGTGTGCATATGTAGGTGCATGTCTGTACATATGTATGTATGTATATGTATGTATGTGTGTGTGATATAGTAGTAGTAGTAGTAGTAGTAGTAGTAGTAGTAATAATAATAATAATAATAATAAACAAAACAGAAAAGTATTGTTGCTATATGACCACGATTAGGGCACACACACAAAAAAAAGACAAAAAAATCTACTATAACATGCACCTCAATCACAGTCCATAATTACTTTAGTCATTTTTAAATAAAAATTTATATACAAATAATCAAGAAGGAAAATCTAAACCTGATACATCAAGAAACAAAGAAGACTTATGTTCTCAAAATTGGATCTTAGATTTTCATGCTAGTTATACGTTGAATTCCTACAAGTACCTATTAACTGAATTCTGACTAGTACTTATGACTGAAATTCTATCTAATTTCCATTATCAATTCTAAATCAAATTCCCATTAGCCTTGGACTTCAATTCCCATTAGCAGTTCTGATTTAAATCCCAACAAGCAGTTAATACTGAAATTGCATCTAGCAGTTTTGACTGAAATTGGATCTAATAGTAATGAATGAATGAATTCCACTTCCACTATTACTTACAAATCCTGGGTACCTGACTGCCTTCAAGAAACTGACTGCTGTACCAATACCTAAATAAGCAGAAGTCCAATCTAACCCATGAACATAGATAGTACTATACACTCAACAAAATTATACTATCTTCATGTAAGGTTTGTCAATAGTAAGTCACTATCATTTGCTCTTTGCCAATATCCCCCTTATTACAGGGGGAGGTGTAGCCTTATGTCATAATAAAGGTAACATCAAAATGGTCTTGTAATGTCTGTGTCCTACACATTTGAACCCAATCTTAATGGGGACACCCAGTGCCAACATCGTGCCAGGGTGCATGCGGAGTCAGTTGCTTGAGGGAAAAATCAGAAGCACAGGAAACCTTAAATTACTTAACTTTCTATGCTCTTGGCTGCAGCATAAACAATTGTTTTTTGGTAATAATGCTAAAAAGAGGCTTTAAGCCTACTTTTGAGGGATATTTTTTTTCAATTAATTAATGTGGTCAGGGTCAATCAAGCATATTATGTATGTATGTATGTATGTATGTATGTATGTATGTATGTATGTATGTATGTATGTATGTATACATGTATATACGCATGTATGCATATAAGTACACATAAACTGCTGAACCTTGTTTACCGAACATCAACAACCAATTATTTTTTCGTTGTAACATCTTTTTCTATTGGCAAATCACTTACTGGAAAATAGTGTTTGTGCTGCTATAGTTAATTTGAAGCCAATTTCAATAAATAATTGCACAATATTTTTCTTTCTTTCTTTGGTGCAACTATTGGATTCAACAATTAACTGGTAAGTGACTTACACACAATGAATCTGGCACAGTACTGTAAACACTATGTTGTTATTTTATTTTATTTTTTTTTTTTTTTTTAAGATTCGCGAAGCAGAGCCTCGCCCGGGCTATGCCTATTTGGGGAGCCCGGTTATCACTATGTTACATAAGGTTGTGTAAATGTATTATTCATACTGATGAGTTTACACACAATTTTATATCAAGGATGGTTGTATGAAAATAAATATTTGTTTACATATTTAATCCCACAAGTACCAAATAATAATCTAATCTAATGGTATGATCTAATAGATTTGTATCATGTAGCACTGTAACAAAAATAATAAAAATCCTTGCATTGGAGCTGAAACTGCTACATTGGTGTTGTCTGTCTCCACTGAATTATAAATGAATTTTGTAAACACTTGTGCTTTGCATGGGTTATCGTATTTCAGCTAACATTATAACTTTCAAGAACCCGAGCCTAATAGTAAACAAGGTTCAACAATAATGTATGATAACAAAAAAAAAAAAAAAAAAAAAGTATATATAAAGGCAAATATCAATTTACTTACATAATACAGAAATGTTGCAATACGATTCCCGTAGGGGCCTAAGTCAGATTCTATGGAATACTCATCCTTCTGTAACATGCATGTCAATAACAGTCTTGTGTCAGGTTAGTCATAATTAATTAAATAAAAGTAAGAAAAAAAAAAAAAGAAAGAAAGAAAGAAAGAAAGAAAAAAAAAAAAAAAAGACAGACAGATACAACAAGCAACAAACTAAAGTTAGACAAATATTAGTTTCAATACCCATGCATATGATGTCAGGTCTGATACTTCTCTGTCGGGTCGGGTCTTACATATTATTTTCTCAGTTGTTCTAAACCTTTTAGAAATTCATATCCTCGGCATTTTTTGTTCTCATTTTAGCATTTGGTCATCATCAGGAAATCAATTCCTGGTCAGGATGTAACGTTAACATATTTTTCCTATATCACTCCAGCAGATATAATGAATAATCATTGTTTTTGTCAATTTTAGCAGCAAATTGTCTTTTCTGTAACGTCAACTCTCAAGTCATAACAGAATCAGCTTTACTTGATCCTGATGAAACTGCTGAAGGTATAAACAATATGATAACAATCAAACACCTTGAATCTCACATTTTCTGGAATAGGCTTGAGTGCAAAGCTTTCTTGTTACCACAATGAAGAGCACACAGTAGAAGCAGAGGCACAACATAAACACAGTCTTTATTGTCAGTGGGGTTGTCAACACATAATGTCTTTGTTAGTATGTCAATTTTCTGTGTACAGGATTGAGTTAGCACTTCATTGACAAAAAGCTTTGTCAGAGTGAAAAAAAATCAGAATGATAACTGTCATCTTCTTACAGATCAGTTTTACTGCTCACTCAAATTTTGCAGTCCTACAATATAGTTTAGATTTTGACTTATCATTCCGATTTTTCTCCAGTCACTGACACATAAAGCACCTAAAACACATAATACACAGCAATAGTCCTACGGACACTTCAGCTATCTACTCACATAAAACAGGAAAGTTGCAATTCTGTTACCAGTGCCTAAAGATTTAAAGGCATCTTTCTCTTCTCGCTGGAAATAACAATGACATGTAGAATGGTTATGGACATAAGCTTAAGAAGTGCAATTTAGCTTCTAATCCCTCCTATTGCCCTAAAAAACATCACAGTGGCAGAAAAATAGGCAGTAAAGGGGATAATGCACTGTCAAAGAGCATAGGCAAATGCTCTTCAAAACCTGGAAATGTAAATTACCTGAATGAAATGATATGGTGCACATCGTCAATATATCAAAATATCAGCAGTGACAATAAACAAATCAGAGAAATAACCTGGCAGTTAAAGACAGAAATATATAGTAAATATTGAGGACTCTTTTCCTAAACTTTCAAGCAATAATACACCAATAAAAAAAAAAGCCTTAAATTTCTCCTCTTACCCGTGCATAATCAAAGTGTGGTTCATAATGGCCTCCAATTCCATAATTTGCCACCTGTAATTCTTCAGCCGTCTGCATATTCAGACCTATAAATTTAAAATAAGAAGGAAAGAGTCAGTGCTTTTATTTCTCTTTCTGTTGTTTATAATGGTAATGCTTTCATGAAACCAACTATCAAAATAGATGTTAATGTTATAATTTCAATTTTTTTTAGCCCTTTAACACTCTCCCAGAGTTGTGATATCATGTTTCATATTAGTTTCATTTTACTACAGCACTGTATTTCATTTTACTATATAGAGTTGAATATCTTTGTTAATTATATACGGATATGCTACTTTCAGTCCAAATTTCTGACAATACTAAGTTGGTAAAGTAGAAAGATTTCTGAAGTTGGCTGAGTTCATATGGATTAACCTACTGTTTATGTACTGGAGATATAATGATAAAATACTTTATTTACGAACCTGTAATATCTTCAATCCTTTGATTCACCTTAGCTACAGTCTTAGAATCGTCTGCTTTGAGCCACGACGATTTACTGATTCTGTAAGAAGCAGTCTCCAGCTCTCCTGTCTTGTAGTTCTGAACAGTAGCACGCTTGAACTGTGGCAAAAGTACTTGATGGTTAACACTACAAGCAGATGTGAAGAAAGAGCAGTTTGGGATTGTCAATAATCTCTCTTAATCATATTATTCTTCCTTTCAAGAATAATACACAATCACAAGTAATACACTTCATGCACTGGAAACTCTCAGCATCAAACTAAACACTGTCAACTGTTCACCAATGATTTTTACAAAAAACAGGGCTTTTCTTTTGGCAGGTCTTCATAAGTAACATGGATAATAAGGTTAACTAGAACTGATAAAATCAGGTGAAACTGTAAATTACTAAGTCCATGAATATTGAAAAGAATATGTGTACTTAATGTACATGGCGTTTTTATTAATTTTCTTTTTTTCTCATTCTGAATATGCAATACTAAAGCATATAAAAATCAACATATACATACTCACATTAAC